TCGCCGGCTGGGGCCCCAGTTTTGTTTGTCAAGAAAAAGTCAGGGGAGTTGCGGCTTTGCAATGACTATCGGCCGTTGAACAACATCGTGATCAAGAACCGTTATCCACTCCCCCTCATCCCGGAGCTTCTCGACCGTTTGCGAGGGGCCCGGATTTTCACCAAATTGGACCTAAGGGGGGCCTACAACTTGGTGCGTATCCGGGAAGGGGACGAGTGGAAGACAGCCTTCCTGACCCGCTTCGGAAGTTTCGAATACAGAGTCATGAGTTTCGGGCTCTGTAACGCTCTAGCCACGTTCCAGCACTTCGTCAACGATATCTTTCGTGACTTTTTAGACCGTTTTTTGGTCATTTACCTGGACGACTTCTTGATCTACTCCACGAATCCACGTGATCACGCGCAACAGGTGCGCGCAGTGCTCCAGCGCCTGAGAGATCATGGACTCTATGCTAAGCTGGAAAAGTGCGCCTTCGATCTCGACGAAGTGGACTTTCTGGGACACCGCATCTCTGCGGAGGGAATTTCCATGGACCCCGCTAAAGTTTCCGCGGTGTTAGAATGGAAGTCCCCCATGAGTAGAAAGGACATTCAAAGATTCATGGGTTTTGCCAACTACTACCGCAAGTTCATCCCAGACTTTGCCCGCTGGGCGGACCCCATTACCCAATGCCTGAGAGGCAAACGGCCGTTCCTATGGACTGAGGCGGCTGAGGAAAGCTTTCAGCAGCTCAAGAAGCTCTTCACTTCTCAGCCTATCTTGCAACATCCTGATCCAACTAAGCTCTTTGTGGTGCAGGCCGACGCGTCGGATGTGGCGGTTGGGGCAGTGTTGCTACAACCTGAGGGAGATCATCTCCAGCCCTGTGCATACTTTTCCCAGCAGTTGACTGCCCCCGAACGGAATTACACCATTTGGGAAAAAGAACTCCTAGCCATCAAGTCGGCGTTTGAGACTTGGAGACATTGGCTAGAGGGTGCTATGCAACCAGTGGAAGTCCACACGGACCATCGCAATCTGGAATATCTCCGTACCTCCCGGAAGTTAAACCAACGACAGCAGCGTTGGGCGTTGTTTTTTGAGAGATTCAACTTCCGGATTTGCTACGTGCCGGCGGCTCAAAACAAACAGGCGGATGCTTTGTCGCGCAAGCCGGAGTATACTCGGGGCCAAGAAGATTCTTCTGAGTCCTGCATTTTGCGCCCAGAAAACTTTGCGTCCACCGGCGTATCGGGGCCCCCTTCGACTCTGGCTGAAAAGATCCGAGCGCGGCAGCAAGAGGACTTTTGGGTGCAAGAGCAACTACAGGCCGGACTAAAGTTCCCATTTCAGGAGTTAGATGGCATGCTGTGTCATCGTTCAAAGGTCTATGTACCGCCCGGGCCCGAGCGGGAGGAAATTTTAGGACTATGCCATGACACCAAGCCAGCAGGGCATTTTGGGATCTTTAAAACAATGCAGCTGGTGCTGAGAGACTTTTGGTGGCCCAAGATCCGACGAGAGGTCGAGAAATATGTCAATGGGTGCCCTGTTTGTCACCGCGCCAAGAACTCTATGGGCAAACCGGCTGGTTTGCTACAACCTCTACCCACTCCGAGTCGGCCCTGGGAAATCGTGTCGGCTGACTTCATCACAGATTTACCAGAATCTCAAGGTTTCACCACCATTTTGGTGGTGGTGGATCTTTTCACCAAGATAGGACATTTCATTCCCTGCGGGAGAGTGCCTACTGCCAAAGAAACTGCCGATTTGTTCCTGAGTCACATTTTCCGTCTTCATGGACTTCCAACGAGTTTGGTGACCGATCGCGGTGCCCAATTTACCTCGCACTTTTGGAAGGAGATTCAGCGGCAGTTGGGCATCGAGAGTCGGATGTCGTCAGCGCACCATCCACAATCTGATGGCCAGACCGAGAAGACCAACGCCACCCTTGAGCAATATTTGAGATGTTTTGTAAACTATCAGCAGGACAATTGGTCATCGCTTCTTGCTGTAGCCGAGTTTGCTTATAACAACGCTACTCACGGGTCGACCAAGGAAGCCCCGTTCTTTGCTAACTATGGATACCACCCCCGGTTCTTTCCTTCAGTGGTGGGGTCAGGAGAGGTCCCTGCCGCTACCACTTGGCTGCAGGAACTTTCAGCGATTCAAGAGATTTTAAAGGCTCAACTGGAACAAGCCAAAGAGGATTACAAACGGGTGGCGGATACCCATCGGCAGCCGGGTCCACCGATCCAAGTGGGGGATCGAGTTTGGCTGTCCACCAAACATTTGCCTATACAACGCCCCTCTCGGAAGCTTGACGCTCGTTTTGTGGGGCCATACCCAGTGGTGGACCAATTAAATCCTGTGATCTTTAAGTTGAAGCTTCCGCGCGGCATGTTTTTCATCGATCGTTGCTCCGACCCGCCGCGGAAGTCCGGCCGGATGCTGGCGGGGCCCCTCCGCCACCCCCGATTCTGCTCGATGGAGAAGAAGAATTCGAAGTGGCAGACATTTTGGACTCTCGCCGTTATCATCGCAAGTTACAATACTTGGTGGACTGGGTGGGATATGGTCCTGAAGAATGCTGGTGGGTGGATGCTCGAGATGTTCATGCTCCTCTCCTAGTGTCCCGCTTTCACCGGGCCTATCCGGCCAAGCCC